GGGTTCTACTTGAGTGGTGATATGATACCTTTTTTATCGCTTGCAAAAAACAGAAGAGTGTTATTAAAAATCATTTCGAGAGAAGGCTCTCAATATTGACTTTCATCTAAAAAAATGTTAAACCAAAAATGTGTAGCCCGAAGGCAAAAAACGCTCAGTTTGGGTTCAAACAGACGGCTTCATCATTGAAATCCGATACAATTGTCAATTATCAAGTAGCACCACTGTTTCGATGAACAAAGATCCAAGCATTTCTTAAAAACTGTTTTTTTTTCAGGATGCTTTGGAAAGTTTACAAAACCGAAGTTCTTCTTGAGGAAGATCTTCCAGAACTTGAAGAGAAGCAGCGTTCCTCCTTTGCGCACGAAGAGTTTAAACGGAAGTGGACTCAAGCACAAAGAAGAACAGATAAATCGAAATTAGACTCGGCTCCTGGGAAGTTTTCTATGAGAGGAGAGGAGGACGATAAGGGAGAGCCGGACGAGAAGAGAAAGAAGGACGACAAGGGAGAAAAAGACAAGGGAGAGGAGACAGTTTCTGAGAGCCCTGCGGGCGAAGAATCACAACGGTCGACAACGAAGGTGCCGAGTCTTCTGAGGGTTATACTGAGGCTGTACGGTGTACGACTAATTGTATTTGAGGTAAGCTTTAAAAAAATAAAAAATTTTTTACGGCGCTTGCAACTGCATACGGTCAAATGAAAGCGCGGGACACATTAAACATTTTCAGTTGGTAGGAAATTGTGAATTTTGTCCGGGTGGCGGTCGAAGCCTACTCTTATCGGACCTTTAACGTGCGCAACTTGCTCCCAGGATCTCCGATATTTTTCTCCCTTGTCCGAGAAGGCTAGGTTTAAATCTTTCCTACCAGAAGATCAGGGGTGTGGCTGAAAGACAGCAGTAAGAAGGAGCTAAAGATGTAGCTGTAGAAAGGCTGCAGAAAGAGTCAAGAGGCCAGAGGAGGGGACAAAGGAGGTGAGGGGGTGGTGGGTAGAAAGTGGAGACGAAAGCAGATTACAGAACATTGCAAGAGAGCAGGAAAGGAGGTGAAAGGAGACAGGTTTAGAGAAGTAAATGTTTCGGTCGCTACCCGAATTCGAACCCGGGACCATTGGATAAGAGGCGAACACCTTAATCTCTAGGCCACGAGAGCTCCCTTCTGAGGTAAGTTAAGAAGTAGTAGGATCAGATTGTAAAGCTCATTGATCCGGAATTTGTGCCATAGAAAGGCTATCTATCCTTCCATCCATCCGTCCATTATTATTAATTTTTTTTCTGATTATTATTTTTAAAATTATTACGACGACGACGACGACGACGATGATGATGATGATGATGATGATGATGATGATGATGATGATGATAATGATAAAAGTCTCTCTCTCTCTCCCTCAGCACCCCTACCCTACCACTGCAC